TTGCGCTGTGCGTGCGCGAAGTCGCCCGCGGAACTACCTTTTGTCCGCACGCAGAGTACTATGACTATGAGAGCGAAGTTAGGCTAGTAGTCTAGGTGTGCGTAGTAATCACGGACCGAGACGGGTGGTCCGGTAAAGTAAAATCCAGCCACCGTCTTTATTCGGACTCGAGTCCGAATAACATTTATTCATATTCGAACTTGAGTCCGAATTTTAAAAAATCTTATTCGGACTCGAGTCCAAAATGAAAAAATGTTATTCGGACTCGGGTCTGGAAAAATGGAAGTGTCTTTGTTCTATAGATCTAACGTTCAGTGCTTCCAATTTTCCGCCATTTTTTAGTTTCCCCCACACCTTATCTGTCGATCCGATGCCCGCCGCCTCATTGATACGCACCGCTAGTGCCCCCCCTCCCCCTCCCCGACACGCACCCACAGCCACATGAGTAAGCAGGCCACCCATCCAACCCCGACACACGCTAACGAGCCATCTTTAATTGCTTCTGATGACCTCTTGACAAATGAACATTTATTAGAAGTGCTATAACTTTTCAGGCCGGCCTCAAATTCATCATAAGATAAAAACTCGGCTCCTGCACAAAACACCATTTTGCCCGAAGTGATCCCGGTCTCTACCCAGCCTGAGGCGAGTCACGAGTGGGGCGGGACAGGAAGCTGGAGTCACGAGTCACAGGAAGTCAGAAGTGATGTCCTGCTGGACAAGAATCAGAGTCCGAATAACACTTTTTCATATTGGGACTCGAGTCCGAAAAGTCACTTCGTAAAAATAATGCCTGAACATTGTTATTTTATAGACTGTCGTTATTCTCATCCAGGTTGAAAATAAAAATATAATATTATTCTCACCCGGTCTGAGAATGCAGTGGATTCCGGGTGTTGAGAACGGGTAGGCCTACATGTTGGGTAATAGGATGATAGAAAATAATTTGTGAAAACTATAACTAGAGAGTACCCAGGGCTCCCCTTTTCAGGCCAACTTAAGAGGTTCCTTCACCCTTCTGTTTACTATTTGAAGGGGTATTTAAGCCCTTGCTTTAGAGACTTACAGGATAAAAGTCAATATCTCATAATTTTAAAGTAATTACAAGATTTTTTGCTTTGCAAACATTTAACTCACACGCTCATTCACACAGACACACATAGAATGACCATGACTATGGTTGAATGCTAACGATTTTAATTAACTTGAGAAATAAATGAGTAATATTGACTAGAATTAGAGTTTTGTCCTTTTGCAGGGAGGAAAAGTGGTGGTGGTGGTGGTTGAGCAGTTGGGTCTATCTATCAAAAATAAAATAAAGTTGGCAAACCAAATGGGGTCAACTCCACTATAATACTCCAAGAAAAATAGACCTGTCACTCTATGAAATCTAAAAGTCGAGATCTCTGTGGGGAAAAAAATTGGGACTTGGTGAAAAAAATCGGGATCAATGACAAATCACCTAGGTCACTGCCAAGCTAACTTTAAAAAATTCCAGGGGTGTCCAATATTATATCCTGTATATTCCCTCTGCGTGGTGTATGTGTGTGTGGTGTATGTGTGTGTGGTGTATGTGTGTGTGTGTGAGTACGCGCGTGCCTGTGTGTGTTTTATCTTTTTTTAAAATCCTGAAGTATCATGTCAAGGTCTCCTAGGCCAAGTGTTTTACACACCCCTTACCCCCCACCTCCCCCCCCCTCGAATAAGTTCCGAAAGACGCTTCAACCAGTGTGCATGAACTTAAATTGACCCCGTCAGCAACGGTCCCCGACACACGTGGAACTCACACGCCGAAGTCATGTCACATGGTGTGAACGAGCGATTGAAACAGTTTTACTGATGACACTTGATGAGGGGCCTGACTAACCAAAACTCGGACAAAGCATGTTTTGGTGAAAGTAGATTTTGAGAATGTCTTTAGTCGGAATGCCAAATCAATACCACTTCCAATCCATTATAGTTGAAATAACACGTTTGACAACTTTTGGTGAGTCAACTACTAAATTCGACATAGACATTTTGGAAAATATTTCTCCAAGTTTCTGCTGACAAAAAGTTTGACGAGTGCTTCCCACGACAGAAAAGAAGGCAAGAGTAAGATTTTAGAAAAATACGGCGCAACAGGCGGAACAAAAAATTAAACAAAAAAATCAGGGTACACGCAATCAAAATCGTGAAAATCGGGATGCTTGAGATTTAGGGCAGGGATGAGTGGCAGGTTTTGGAAAATAAACTGATTCATTATTCTTCAGAGCCATCCCAGGGTTCACATTCCAGTCTTTCCACACTTTCGATGGCGGACAATTCATATTTACTAGTGTGTTAAAGCAGGATGGGGGTAATCTCATGGCAGGGGTAAACTCAAGGGACGACACCGGCAAATGTGAGCAACCAGAATGTGGGCGGAGCTTCTGTGCTGAAGCAAGCCTGTGTTGCCGGAAAATGCGCGCAGCTGATAAGTAGGTTGACTAGTCGACTTCTTCTGACACAGAAGGGGACTGTGGTGCATGTCTGCCGTCGTAAGGGAAAACGATGAATGGTCCTGCGCAGGTAGCGAGGCAAATTTTTTAGGAGAGGCAAAAATTGTTTTCACTTTATAACTCATCTATTTTTCACTTTTTAAAGCTGTAATTCACCAGATATCTGATTGAGGTGTTCATAAAGCAGTTTCTAAAGTTTGAATGGTTTAGGTTAAAAAGTAGCAAACTTATTCGACATTCATCGTTCTCCCTTACATTGCGCACCCGCAGGTGAGCCTTGCGATGTAAGCGAAAATGACGAATGGTACGGTTCGTCGTTCTCTTTTACACTCGTGAACGTTTATGGGTGTAGGCGATGGTCAGTTGTGACGCATTATTGACAATAATGACTGTGTTGTGGTTGCTACAAATAAAAATAAGATGTATACAAACTAGTTATTATACGTGTAAAGTTAGGTGTTTGTTATATCCCAACTGTAACTCGGTAAACGTCCTTCGTTTCCCTTCCTCGCTTGGTTAAATGCTACACAGTCAGTGGACAAATGAGATGTGCACACATTTTCAACAGCTTGATTTAAAACTGTCCCATTCGGAGCCAAAGTTTGGTCTCCATATTATCTCTCTATTGTATTCTCTTCAGAAGAGTTTTACTTTTATTTTCGCAAATTGCAAAATGTTCCCTGCACGACCAAAGGGATCAACAATTTTACAATGTCAATAATACGATCAGATCATTGCAAGGTCAAACTTTCACGTAAGAAATGTAACAATCTGACAAGACTGTTTCACAAACGCTTTCAGGAGAGGTAATGCGACGCTCTGTATTTAATAAAGGATTCAGTTGATCGGATCGGAAAACATACCACAAAGTAAAGATCGACAAGGACACTTTGAATCTGCAAGACATTATTAGACTCGATCGTAACGTCCATCAAATCATAAAAAATCGTAAAGCAAGACTAAGTGTCGCCACAATACGTCCACTTTTTAAGTTGGACAAAGAAATTTACTCTCATAACGCAGTGTCATTAATTGCTTGGTAATTCTATAATGATGTCGACCAGTGACACGTGCTAGACAAATTGCAGCACTATAACCATCGTTGGGATTTTGGATGTCAAATGACTGGACAGCAAACTAACATGACGTTAGTCTGTGAACATCTGGCGGACACTAATATGCAGTGCTAATAAATTTCTCCCTAAATACTTTTTTGACCCTCCCATCCCCACCCCTTTCCC